TTAATTAACTAAAACTGACAAGCCCTATTCCAGCAACCCAACTTTTTCAAACCAAGGCCACCTTCGAACTTAAGGGAACAAATAAAATACTAACAAACCTTAGCACCAGCAGCAAAAGTATCTAGGCCCTTTCAGAAATATCTCATGCAAAGTTGATCAATTTTTTTTATCATAACTTTGGGGAGAATGAATTGATGCACCAATAATTTGTAATGTTGAACAATATTGAACGAATCAGCTCCAACCTACCAGCAAAACTCAAGTTTCTATTAGCTCAATAACCTAGCTTCTCATCCACGCCCTAAGGTGACGTTTGGTTCGTTGGAATCCCTTGGAATTAGGGGAATTGGAATCCAATTCCACAACTTTCCCATGTTTGGTTCAAGTTTTCAAAGAGGGATTGGAATCCAATTTCATCAAATGAGGGAAAGTAAATTTCATCCATAACATGATGGAATTGAAATCCTTTGGATGAGGGAATGTGAAATTTGACCATACTACCCTCATCAATCTTTTGGTATTCGGGTCGGGTCGGGTTTTTTTAAAAAAAAATGGGATCGGGGCGGATTTTTTAAAAAAAAAATTAGGTTTGGCTTAGGTTTTTTAAAGTTTGATATTCGGGTCGGGTTTTTTTAAGTGTGATATTTGGATCGGGTTTAGGGTTTAGGAATAATTACAATAATACCCCTCTATATATAATTTTTTCAATTAAGTCGTTTTTATTGAATAAAAATAATTTTTTATTATTTCGTGTCGGGTTGAGTTTCTAATTTATATATTCGGGTCGGGTCTCAGGTGGAGGTTCCCTTGTTCTCGGGTCGGATGGACCAAAAACCCGACCCAACCCGACCCATGGTCATCCCTAATTAGGATAATTTTAACTTATGATGTTTATTAGTATGATTTTTATAATTTATTGAAATGAATAATCAATCAATAAAATAAATTTTTAATATTTTTTAAATTTTTATAATATATTGCTACATGTAAGTTATGAAACAAACTAAAATAAAACAAAAAAAAAGTAGGGCAATTATGTCATTTTACATTACTGAAATCAAATTCATTTGACATGTCTGCGAACCAAACAGAATATGAAATTTGATTTCAATTCAATTTCCTGCCAACCAAACATGTTTCAGATTCAGATTCCAATTCCTTCACATATTACAATTCATTCGCAGATTCCAATTCCCTCATAAACATTCCAGTGAACCAAATGCCACCTAAATATCTCATGGAAAGGGAACCAATCTTGAAACTCGAGACTTTCTTTATAGCATCCAAGTATACTGAAGAAACACCCCAAGCAAACAATTCACTCTTCTCAGCGTTCAAGCGCAACCCAAACATAATGTAAAACCTATCCAAAATACATTGGATACTAATAACAGATTCAATGGTCCCCTTAGAGAAGATGAGGAGATTATCAGCAAAGTAAAGATGCGTAAGGTTGGCCTTCTTGCACTTTGAGTGAAACTGAAAATTTTCATTAGTAGCAGCAACATCTTGCATCTTTGACAAACAAATAGGGAGACAAAGGATCACCCTGTCTAATCCCCTAGCTCCACGAAAATAACCCACAAAACTCTCATTAAATGTAATAGAAAAGTGAGGAGTGGTCAAACAGACTCGAATCCAGCCTCTAAATCTCTCAGGCAGCCCCATAACCTCCAATACAGTCAAAACAAACTTCAAGCTATTAAAAATGAGAATTTTATATATATATATATATATATATCAAGTTGAATGTGATTTTTTGCTCTAAAAATTGGATTAGTATCATCTCTTTGAATCCAAATTGAAAGAAGTGATGCTTATGCAAGTGAAAAAATATTTTAATAATTGCCATACTATTTTAAAATTTTAATTTTATGATGTTATTTTTTTTTTCATTTGAATTTTGTAAACCACATCTTTATACTAGATAGCTAATCACTAATTTGAAGTTATAAGAAAAGGCAAAATAATCGTTAGGAAATGTTTATGAAAATATTTTTTATTCAAAATTCTATTTGAAATGTAGAGTCATTTTTAGAAAATTTATTTTTAACAGAAACTTCGTGTTTGAAGAGCGATTATTATTTTTTATTGAAAGGAGGCCAAAGCCGGAAGCAATTACACCAAATTTAACATAAGGAGGACCAACAATGTTCCGATGAATCAAAGGGAGAACAGACGTGGGCTGTTCAGCGAGCTTTTGCATCTCGTAATCAAGGGGAAGGCTAAACTTTGAAAGACTATCGGCCACCATATTACCCTCACGGAGAACCCAGAGAAACTCAACATACAAGCTACAATTGCACATGATTTTAATACCTAAACTTTTAACTTTTTTTAAAACCATATCTAATACTTAGTTTTTATTTCATCTTAGCACATTGACGTTAAAAACTTCAGTACACTGTATTTTTATGGATAAATTACATCATTATCACTCAATTATCTTTTCACTCCCATTTTGGTACTAAAGTTTAAAAACTTTTAATTTAACTACTCAACTTTCAAATTGCTCCTATTTTAATCACTCTAATTTATTTTATTTATAATTTTTGTGCCATGACATTTTTTATTATTTATTAATATATAATTAAAAATAAAAGTTAGAGTGATTAAATTTGGAATCATTTGAAAGTTAATTAATTAAATTAAAAAAATAAAACTTTAGTGACCAAAATAGGAGTGAGAAAATAGTTGAGTGATGAATAATATAATTTACCCATACAAAAGATGCCACGTTCAAATCACTCTTTAAGTTTTTAACGGTGGGGTATTTAAACGAAACAAAAACTAAACGTTAGATATACTTTTGAAAAAATTAAAAGTTTAGATACTAAAATGAACTAAAACTAACATTTTAAATACTAAATATATAATTTACCCAAAATTGCCACCGAGAAAAGACAAGAGTACAAGGGAGAGTTAAAAGGACTCCAACTCTTTTCTCTCTCTCTTGTGTGTGCTGTTGGTTTCCATCACTTTCTAGATAAAATAAAACTTAAAAAGGGAAAATTTTATTATAATAAATATCTATAACAATACATTAAATTAGCCGAATAATATCAATTGATGAGATTATAATTTATAGATTTAAGGGTTATTTTTCTCTTTATAGTAGATTTAATTTATTAATTTTGTTCTTACATTTTTCGTATGAATGTAATCCTCAAAATTATTTAAGTGTATCATTTTAGTCATCGAAGTATGTTTTAATTAACATAAACGTTAATCTTTTGCGTTTATCAACATCAGCAATTTCCATGTCAGTCGGTATTACTGACATTACTTGATGATGACATGATATTTATTAAAAATATATATATTTAAAATATTTACTAATATAACAATTAAAAATCTAAAAAAATGAATTAATCTCTTGACCTTCTGAAATAAATAATAAAATTTTAAGAAAATTTTTAATCGTTGTGTTTAGTAAATATTTTAACCTAATATCTTAATCCACGGACATAAAAAACTCACAATTATGTTAGTCAAAACGGTTAACAGACTTCGAGGGATAGGTTGATGTCCTTAAACAACTTTAAGGGCTAAATTGATAAAAAAAACCACACGGACGGAAATGATAAATTTGAAGAGATGGAACAAGGTGTGTGTTTTCTCTGTAATAAAGAGTATCTTGGCGGGGCAAAGCTCCTTACGAGTCACTTGTTTACATCACATGCTTATGTTTTGTAAGGAGTTGGTTTGTGGCCAGTTATTGATAAGGGTCATTTTAGTTGGTGTGTTAGGAAGATATTCAAGTTGAGGGAGGATGCTTTCCTTCTGCTTGGGTCTGTGACTGATTGGGGGATGGTTACTACTTCTTGGCTATGGTTTGAGGGTCGCTCTAAAGGGGATGTGGTTTCTTGGCATAGTTTGCTTTGGTTTTCCTTTTATGTTCCTAGCCATGCTATTATTGCTTAACTTGTAGACTAAGGGAGAGTTTCCATCAAATATCGATTGTTGCAATGAAGTGCTGTTGTAGATGACCGTTGTGTTTGTTGTGGTCACTTGGGGATAAAGTATCACCTTTTCTTCTCTTATCTCTTTTCGAAGGTTGTTTAGAAAGGTGTTATTCACTTGTGTAATCTCAATCAGCAGATCACGATCCCAATTCAAGAGGCCTTTCGCTACTTAAGGGTAAATCATTGATAACCTACATCTTGAAACTTGTTTAAAGTGCGCATTTGTATTTTGTTGGTCTGAATAGAATTGTATGATTTTTTAGAATTGAGTTCACTTTTTTGATGTGATTTTATGCATAATTAGAGAGGTTATTGGTATTCAACAGAGTAGACAGAACATTGATAGACTTATGAACTTGTAGCTTTGTGTTGTCTGGGGGATTTCTACTTAGGGGCTGGGGTTTGTTTTATTTGTCTTGGTTTTTATGTAAGTGTTGTGTTTTAGGTGTGGGTGTAAGGTCTGTTATCCATGTTTTGGAGCAGTTTATATATTTTGAATAATGGAATCAAATCTATTAAGAAAAATGATAAATAGAGTCAATTATTTTGAGTAATGGAATCAAATCTGTTCAGAAAAATGATAAATAGAGTCAACTACAATGACAAAAATAATACTTAAGCCTAATATATATTTAAAATATTATGTTGGCTAATAAAAAAATATATATTTCTGAAGTAAGATTTTAAATTTGATATTTGTGAATCGAAAAATTAATATCGACTAAAGTTGTCTTACGATTTGAGATACAACCCCACTTGAATTCGAGTTTAATCGAACCCCTAATACTATCGAACATCGAGAAGTTCAAAAAAAGAAAGAAGGGTGCAAAACTCTGCAATAAGTTGATATGAAACGAACCGATACAGAGAAGAAATTTAGCAGAAGATGGAGGGTTGAAAGAATGTGGGGCGGCAGGCAGGGCTTGAAGAATCCCAAATGCTGAAAGACGAGAATCCCATACCGTTAAGCGATAAGCAAGTGCACCCTAAATGACTTTATAAATAAACGCGCAAAGCTAAAGCTTGAAATCACGCAGCCGTGTTGTGAGCACAAAATGAACTATTCTTTCGTCTTTTACTAAAGAATATCGTGTGCTCGCAGCTCAAAACGGCATACGCCTATTTTTGAACTATTTTTGGAGAGTTAAAAGTTATCGGCATGGTTTTGTATTTCATATCTAGTTGGTTAGTTTGTAAGATGTGAGAAATGTAATCGACATTTTGTTCTATGGTTAGTTTGTAAGGTGTGATTATAATAGAGATTTGGTACCTTGATAGGGGGAAGCTAATGTTGTATATAGTTGTTAATTAACTTCCATATTTACAATTGAGATTAATATTGGGAAAGTAATTTAAGTGGTTACTGATCGAGGACTGTCTTTTTTCATGTTTTCGCGTGTATGTGATTCATATTTTACGCAACTGTCTGAGTTCTTAATTTTCCAGACATGAATTAAAGCAACCGTCTTCATTAATTATTATGTTTCTAATTGGTAATGTGGGTTTGCTTCTCACTTAAAAGCAACAATAAACAAGTTACATTTCTACAGACACATATGGATTTGATCTTAGGAATCGAAGAGGAATGTCTTATGCATTCACTCTTCATCGATATGCTCACCTACTGATAGCATACATCATATATTCAACTGGGAATAAACAGAAAGTATGTGAAATACATAAACATTCAAAGCAGCGGTAGGTACTCGTGGTATACACTACACAGCACACTTCATCGAAGAGAAAGATAAATGAGCTGTGGAAGTTTCAGCAGCAGTTCATGCATACAACACAAATATTAAGTCTGACACCTGTCCTCTTATTGAGAATGCAAATCATAAGAGAGAATTTAAGTTTCGCCAATTTTTTTTTTAGTATGAGCAACTAGTGTTTTAGGTAAACTACATATGTCTGGTCACTTACCTTTTCTCCTATTTCTGCTTTGATCACCAAATTAATTTTTTTCCCAAAATTTATTACTACGTTTAGTTCCTGTTTTGATCGTCTGATATTAGGTTTGACCGTTGACTTGAAAAAATTGGTGATGCAGTATAATATAATAATGATTTTAATTGTTAAAACTTGTATATTATATCAATTTGATCATAACTCAGTCAATTCTTAATAATTTAAAATTCTATCAATTTGCTACTCATTTTAATTTGAAGTAATTTCATAATTAAGTGATATGATGAAATTGTGATGGACGATGTTTGGAGTTCTAAATGACCAACAAGGAAGGAAAATTGACAATGGATTTTTGAAAAAGCAAAGTGACAAGCAATAAGGGTTTTAAGATAAGAAAGAATATATTAAAAGATGTTTGGGATTTGTCGGAGTTATATGATCTTCAATCGACAAAGAAGTTCATGACGTACAATGTTCGTGATGCTAAATGAAAGACGCAGAGGATCAATCGACTAGGGTTTTAAGATATGGGATATGGTTTTGCAATATGTTTGAGATTTGTTGAGGATGCATAGTAAGGTTTTGGGATTCATCGAGGTTTATACTAATCTTTAATAGATTTTTGAAAGAACAATCGTAGTGCTGAACGATCGACGAAAAATAACGCTTAATTAATAATAGATTTTTGAAAGAAGGGAGCGAGTGACGAGAAGATAGGGTTTTGGAACAATGTTTTTGAAGAAGGTAAAATTATACTATGAGTCCTTATAAAATTTTAGATTCCATAAAATTTACCCCGAACTTCCTATCTAATTAAATTTAATCTCCAATTTTAAAAGAATTAAAACTTCTTGTTCGAATTAAATTCACTTTAACTTCTGATATGTGCCATTCTCTTGTTAGTTAGAGTGTTAAATGTATTGAATTATTAAATTATTTCAAATGAAAATAATGACCAAATTGATAGATTTTTAAACATTGGATATTTATTAAATTATTTTGAATTATGTTTGATTTGATAGATTTAAGGATTAAAAGTATTATTATATTATGTCACATAATTATTTGTGTTAATTTAACGGTCAAACCTAGTGACAAGTGATTAAAACAAAAATAAAATGTGATGTTGACATATATTTAAAATTTAATTAAATGATTAAAATAAAAATTTTAAAATAAGTGTGTGACCAAATAAATAATTTAATCTAATTATTTTTAAAATTTTGTAGGGATTGGTTAGGGAGATGTGAAGTTTGGTGAGTAAGAGACTGAGAGATATCAGCCGTTGGATTAAGTGCATTTCCGTGTAATGCGGAAGGGAAAGTGACGGTTGGATGCACGCGTGATATAGAGGAGGTATGGGGCCCACCTACCTTTGACGATTTCTGCGTGCAATCTGCCTTCTTTTATCCCCGTGATTTGCTTTCTGTTTGGCTTTTATTTTATCATTTTTTTTTGCGTTAATCAAGTCAAAATTATTGTCATTATCACAATTATTATCTCCTTAATAAGGATATTTATATTTAGATTAAAGCTTCACTCGATGGTACTATAATTATTATGTTAATTTAAAAGATATATATTTTTAAGTGAACTAAACAATTATAAGATAATAGATGTCCGATATAAATTCAAATAAGCTTAATTTTTTTAAAAATATTATATTTAAGATCATATAAAACTTAAACATTATACATAAAAGATATAACTGATATTTAAAATATTATTGTTATGTTAAAGATATTATAATTAATTTAGTAGCTTCTAAAAAGATAATGCATATTCTAAATCATAAAATTTTATTTTATTTTTCACCAACTATGACTATGATCCACGCACCCCAAGGGAATCCTTTGTGTAATATTCTTACCACCTCAGGAGATTGAAGGAAGGAACAAACTGTGGTTTAAACGAATCAACCAATGACGGGTAAATCCAAAAACTATAAATGGTGGCTTCGGATCAGGTTTGCATACTTTCTGTGTGCTTTGTGGCCAGTCCGGGGCTGCGTTGTTGGGAAGACTCTACTTTGAGAAAGGAGGAAAGAGCCGGTGGTCAGCAAAACTTAACTGGCAGGCTTCCCAATTCTCATTCTTTACTATTGCTTCTCGACCATCAAAAACTGGACTGCAACTGGCTCCGGCTCAAGTCTCCCACCGCCCGCTGCTGTTCTTGCATTGGTTTTGTCTCCCTAGGCCTACTTGTAGCAGCATTCTGCCTTCTTTATTCAACTGGTCACAATACCTTCCCATGCCTAAATATCAGAATGTGTCGTGAATTGTGATGGAAGTATGTGATCGGGTTCATATGCACCATTGCTGCATCAGGCTACCAACAGGTGGAACTTTCTTCAGCACAGTTCTGCTTTCGGAACATCATTAAAAGGGAATCATTTTCAACAGTCATGGATATGATAACCTATCAGTCACTGGTTACAGCAAGAACAATCACGGTGGGACTTCTTATTAGTGGAGAATGGAAAGGTCTAAAGAGAGAAATGGAAGAATATGAACTAGGGAAGGTATCGTATATCATGGTTTTAGTATGGATATGCATACTATGGCAGGGGTTCGCCTTTGGAAGCACAACACTGCTTTTTGAGGTGTCTTCTCTATTTGCAAACGCCGTAATCTTTTGTTGCATTGCCTGTTGTTCTGGTTCTTGCTGTTATCTTTTTTTATAACGAAATGGATTGTATAAAAGGAGTTGCCACGGTTTTGGCTCTATGGGGCTTTCTTTCATATGCCTAACAGCAATATCTTGATGATCAAGAGTCTAAGAGTGAACACAACATAAATGTCAATAGCGAAGCTTAAAAGCTTCCACTGGTAAAAGCAATGCGTTTCAAGGTGTATCCGAAAGAATCAGGATGCTAGAGCTTATGTACTGTCACACAAGATGTACCAAAGAAAACAAACGATCAATCAAGTCACAAATTGCATGAGGCATATGATTTTATCTGTAAATATTGAGATTAAGCAACCAATTTAGAACCTAAAAGAATTGTACTTTCTAATATTAAACTAATCTTCACATTTAACAACTTTTTATACCTCCCAAAATCCAACTCGCAAGCACTGATGGCACATTCACTTTGAAGCTAAGCAAGGCTCATTTGGCACATTAGTAATGATTCCTAACAGTTCAATAAATAAAGAAAACTCACCTCAGTGGCTTAATAGCAAGGAACTGACGAGCACTTTAACCGGAAACCATAAGTGGTGATCTCATCATCATATAATGATGTTTTGTAATATTTGACCAGTCAGCATTCACTCATGGGACGACTATACCACGAAAAAGGTGGGAATATCATATGGGTAACAACAATTGTGCAAATTGCAGAATTGGCAATTCTCATTCCTTTTCGTTACTTCTCACCACCTAAAAGTTGTACTGCAAATGGGCAAGCTATATATAGCTTTGTCTTATTCTATTGGACTTTTACACCTTCCGCTATCAACATTTCCCTTCATTCACAAAAGTTACCTCTTCTTATAATCAATTCTCTAGTTCTACTAACTATGGCCTGATATTTGATAACTGGTTCAGAACACCAAAGTCTTCAAAAGGAAATATGTATTCATGTACCATGCACTGACAGTGTCGGCTTGATATGCCTTGATTCTTTCACTCACACAACTATCGTCCAAAAAGCTTCTAAACAGGGAAATGCATGTAAAGGTTTTTGAAATGTTGAACCGGAAATCAGTCCTGAGAAGTTATTTGCCAAAACAATTTAAGGACTTAATATGCAGGTTGTGAAATGACCTGCTAGTAGTCTATTATCTAACATGACTTTGTCAATGTGCAACAGCAGTTAATGGTATCAACAATTCAAGACAACCATATCACATTCCATCACTTTTTCCTTTTGACCAAATATTAAGGTCTATGTTAGATCATGTTGCAGTAAACAATCCAACCCAACTAGGAAATACTAAATCCTAATCAAGACGAAGTGAAAAGAAACTTTAGAATGCAGAATACAATATTTTTCTGAAAAGGAAAGAAAAAGAGAACCTGCAAGGTTAAGTACGATTACCCATCAGCAGAAGACTCAATTCACTACATCAGGCAACCAACATAATGAGCTTGAGGGTATTTTCTCTGCAGTTGTGGCCATTGCACAAAAAACTGATCTGCAATCTGTAGCTTGTAAAGCAACAGACCACTTAAAGAGAGCTTTTTTACTCTTGCAATGCTCTCAACATAAAATATGGATGACCATCTAATCCCAGTTACCTGAAAGAAAAAATTACAAGAAAAATGGATAACTCCAATTTTCTTATATGTAGAAGCATTTAACTTTATCAACTTATTTTTTTCTTTGGTGGGAAAGTTTCCATCAGTTTTATCAAAGTGAGAAAGGTAATACAAAAATAAAATGGCTTCAAACGCAAACAAACAAACCTTGAAAATGAAAGCAATCAGACATAGAGGAAAACAAGTACCAGGGCCATTGCAAAGAACCTGCAATTAAAGTTTATAACAAGTTTCATTTCTAGCATCATTTTTTAGTAAATGTAACAAAATTGGAAGGAAAAAAGTTAAACACGACAGAAACAGGAAAATACCACTTGAGGTCTGATTTTAATCATCAGCCACAATGCACGAACCGTGGCAACTAAAGTTGTCCAAACAGAGGTTACATATGACTGACCAACTTCCCTGCTTCTATAGATTTGCATAAATTCTGCAGAGATTCCCTTGATTCCACTCTACTGTTAAAATAAATTTAAGGAAACCTCTTATTTTGCCAGAAAAATAGGAAAATGGTTATGAAACATAGTTCTACTTTTTAATGATTATTAGCATATGGATGCAAGCAGTTCATTGTCCAATGTCAAACTCATTTTTTAACTTTACATTTTACAAACTGATAATCGTATAAAATATTAGAAAAAAACTAACTACCAGCTTGTAAAATCAGCCAATGGAATTTAAAAAACAAAGCAGCCAAAAGATTTTGAATAGTACATGAAAAAGATACGTATGTCGGTAAGATATTATCGGATCTGATAGTTTAGACAGCAGTTAGCCTAGATTGTCCAATATATCATACTTCAGGGTCTGCAATTAGGATCTCCTTTATAACATGGGTTAACTATGCAAATCAATTGTGATATTAACAGCAATTCCAATAAAAGAATAAGCTAATTTTACTGTAAAATGTACAAACAAAATGTACTAAACCGAATATCAAAATCGTTAAGTTAACTATTAATAATTCAACGGACTTTCACTAAATAAAGATATACAAAATGTACTCTCAGGAACAAAAATTCACAGTAAACAAATTGGAACCAAATGAAGAAAAAAAGAAATAAACAAAATCTTAATAGCAATCAAGAACATAATGAAAATTTTAAGCATCCGATTTTACCGAATCAGCCCAAGAATTCTCTAACACGCGAGTTTTCTGAAGACTCATGTTATCAGTAGCAGCGGCGATATAAAACCTCGGCGTAAACCGATCCTTTTGCAAAACTAACAAGAGATTAATCATCTCCGCCGTGTGCCCTCCTATACCGAGAAATCATAATCAAACATCATAAATTTGTGAGTCAAATAAGGAAACAAATTTGAAGCTCACCTGAACCTAAAACAATGAGAGTGCTGAGAGGCTGCTGCGGAGATCTTTTGCTTAGCGGCTTGCCGGTTCGGTAAATGACATAAATAACTCGGACTAAGATAATTGTGATGAAGGCGATGAAGCAAGAGATTCCGAGATTCGAAGACAAATCGGAGAAAGAACAGGTAGTGTGTTTCTCCATTTATTGATCTCTGTGGTAAATAAAAGTGAAAGGATTTGATTTGAAGATTTTGATTATTGAAGCAAATAGTTAACAAAGCATATTTAGAGAGAAAATTTAAGTAGAATATTCCAAAATCCACGGATCAAAGGAAATTGGATTTAATTTTCTTTAAAATGAAACTGAAAATATTAGCGCGAATAAGAATACAATTTTGAGGGAAATTCTATGGCAATAGTCCTAGGGATGGTCATGACGGGTCGGGTGGGTACTTTAAGACTTGTTTAGTATTTAATCTATTAGTTTTAGTTGTTTTAGTATTTTAATTTTTAATTTTTTTAAATCATATCTAAAATGTAGATTTTGTTTATTTTAGTAATCGTCGTTAAAATCTTTAATTTTTATTTTATTGTAGTATCCGTTTAAAATTTAACGTTATTTTTTAAAAAATTTGAAAGTTTAAATATTAAAAAAAATAAAAAAAAATGAGAATTTAAATACTAAATGCACAATTTACCTTTTTATCACATGAATTTAATTTGAAAATTAAGCTTGTTTACTTGTATTTATTCTCATTCGAGTTTAATAGAGTTTCATCTAATTTAAAATTTACTTTAATAATCAAGATTAAAATTCACACATCTCTCTCTAAATATATTAATAATAATTATAATATTATTTTCAATCGTGTCGAATTTTTTCATTCAAAATCTAAATTATAAACTCATATCAAATTCCCGTCTCTAATAATGATGTACAAATTATATTTTTTAATTATTTAATCAAGTGGTAGTTTTTTTCTTCAAAAACGCGTTATATGTAAACAATTTAATTTAAAAATGTTTATATTATACTTAATGTTTATTTTAGATGTTTAACTTTTATTCTGTTATCATTTAATGTAATTAACCATTATTATATTTAAAAATATGCTATCTAATCAGTTTAACATTAGATTTAAAAAAATAAATTTATTAATTTTCTAAATCCTCACAATACTTAAATTACTCGAAATCCTTAAATCTATAAACACTAAATTTTTAAATCTTACATGTCACCATCGAAAATATTTTAAACACCTTAAATCTATAAACACTAAATTTTTAAATCTTTAAATTATGATTAACATATTTATTCTAACGATTATTAATATGATGATTTTAAAATGATAATAAAATGAAAGTTATGACCCCTAAATGATAACATAATAAACATTAAACGTTACTTTAAAGATTTAGACATTTAAAATAAATAAAAAATATAATTTAAACACTTATTTTTCAATTAAACCTATTAAAAACACCTTTTAAAAGATACATCTTATAGAATACATCTTTACTAATTTGATACATTTTTCGAGTAAAATATCTAATATTTATACTATCAAATATAATTAAAAATTATATGAATTTTAAATTTTTAAAATAAAATTAAAAATATTTTTTTAAATCCAAATCACCTTAATTTCTTTCAAGGTTCTAACTCCACTCAAGTACACCTTTATAAAAGTAAAGCCCCCCCCTTGCACGTTCCTACTAGTATTACCATAACGACCAAATAACAACTTATAATTATTATTTTTTATAATAAAACGTTAAAAACTCATTTTAAATTTGAAAAGGGAAAAGAATATCCAATATCATTAATCAAAGATAGCGTCTTGAACAACATTCTCGCTAAATACAAAGGGTAATCATATTGAAATGAAATCGAATCTGAAGATGTCGACACAATGCTTACCAATTTGTGCGCTGTTTCATTCACAGTTTGAGGAATCGACTGAACACTGTAATTAGGGTTGGAGTCCAACATTTGTCGAGCTTCAAAAAGAATGGAACGAAGGGAAAGCCGATCAGACTCATGATGTAATAATGGATGAACTAAATTATTTGAATCACTTTTAATTATGACGTGTGAAAAATCCAACTCAACTGCAAATCAGATTTCAAAACAAATTGCATGAGCTTCAACAAAAGCGACAGTCCGAGTCCGATCATCTAAGACAAAACCATCGAAGTCCCGGAGAATAACAGCTACACTCGAAGAGTCCAACTAAAGAGGACACGAACCATCCACATTCATTTTAACAGTCCTTACAGGTGGTTTTAACCAACAGAGAGAGTGAGTAATATTCAGATGTGTATTTTTAAAAAATAATAATAATTATATTATCCTACTAAACAATTAAACACTAACACCAGATGACTACAATTCTCCTACCTTGGATTAAGATGAGGTTTCAATCACTATAGAGAGACCAATTCTTTCTCCAATAAAATTAATAAAAATGTTTTGAAAAAATAATAAAAAGTCACTGAATTTATTTGTCGTTGAATAAAATTAATTTTACACGATGAGGTGTTATATTTTTTTTATTTTTAAATAAGATTATTGATTCGATCTCAAAATCGTTTATATAATAAATTAAATTAAAAATATTAAATATTTAAAATATTTCATTTAAATTAATTGATTATTTAATTGAATACGGATAATTTAAAAAAAATCCGTTGTCTTCCGTAGGATATTATCAGAATTTAAGATAGTTATCTCAGCATTTTAAATATATTTATTATATATATTTTCCATTTTTGTTAATGGTGAACTTTGGTTCCCGGCAGCGAGCTAACCCTGCGCCAAAGAAAATGGTTTATTCTTACTCTCCTTTAAACGACTCTTCTCACGCATTTCAAATTAAAGAGAACAATGTCTTCGAAGTTATCGACCTGCTTTTTCAGCCATGGCTTTTGCATTTTGAATAACGATAATGTTGATAATAATAATTATACGAAGAATATCAATACGAGATTGTTGGTTTTGCCTTCCACTCGCTTTCTCCCAGCTTCTTGCAGAATGCGGCAACGTAATCTCAGGTATTTTTCTGATACATAACGATTTTACTCTCTTTTTTGCTTTAATCTGTTGTTACGGCACTGTTTCGGCTTGATTTTGAGAATTTTTTTTGGCTCAAATTTGATTTTTCAGTGAAGATTAATGGCCCGAATTAAAATCAATTGGATACTGGTTAGTAAATGAGATGGATTAATAATGAATTAATGACTGATAATCGGTGTTTCTTGAACAGTACGTCTTGTAACTGTTGATTTATACATCATGTTAATATATTAATCAACAACTGGAGTATGATCCACTTTTTTTTATTGTTTTATTGATTTTTATGCAGTGCAAATAATAAAAGACAACGAGGGAAGAAACCTCCCTCTGAGCAGATTAAGATAAGTGCAGAGTTGCAGCCTACTGGCGATGAGGAATCCGAACTTGAAGACTCTGTCATAAATGGAGTTGAGATGGAGTATTTTGGAAATTGTGAAACTAATTGTAAAGATGATGTTGACACTGTGACAGATGTAGAGCATATCGATGGACATAATCTGGGAACTCTATCTGTCTCTGCCATTGAGACTAACGGAAGTGTGGAGCATATCAATGAACAGATTGCAAACGGCCTTGTGCTGCCTGCCGTGACAAGAGCTTTGGTACTCTCATTTACCAATAAGTCTGTTGTGAATCTGGGTTCTGATTGTGTTGCTTGGTGCTACTCCTTTTTTTTTTTGTCTATTGTGATATTTTAAAATGTTTTGTCAATTTTTTTTTACTTTTATTTGGTGAAGTGGAAGAATATTTGAACACATTTACCTTTGCTTAATTTTTGTGTCCTGCAATTATAGTAGTTATGGGTTCTCATTAATAATTAAGATTCATTTTTTTCTATTCTCATCCTTAAAAAGCAGTGATCTGAGTTATTTGTTGATGCATTATCCGGTAGAGTTATGGAAATATGTCAGGTTTTTGGAGAAACAATTATTATGGAACTATTAAATATATGTAGTCATATGCCTCTTTATTCTGTTTTCTTCATGGTAACTATGTAAATTGAAGTTCTGAACTTAAAACATTAGTCATTTCTCTTTCGCAGGCCATAAACATAGATGAAGGACAACATCTGTCAGGTGTTCAACGAGAGGATTTGATAGTCATGATAAAAAATGCAGAGAGAAGTAGGATATCTTGCTATTAAGAAACTGTTGAATTCTATCCATATATTACACGTTTTGGTATGTACCTGTAACATCCGCAATACCGGGTTAGTGACCAAATTGTAAAGTTTCAGAATTTGGTGACTAAAGTAGAAGAATGAAAGAATTCAATGATTATTTGAATATATATATATTGAAGGTTATTTGGTATTTATTAAAGGAAATTAAGGGTATTATGGTCATTTGACCAGAAAGATTTTTTTTATAATTTTTTTTAAAGGGTAATAAGCACGGAGGAAGAAGAGTCCAGAGCATTCTTCAGTCTTCTTCCTCCTCTCAACCGGGAAGCTTGGTATAAGGTAAGTGGGTCTTTAGTTGGTTAATTCTTTCGTTTTAAAGCTTGTTTTGATTCTTGGGATATTAAGAAAGATTAAGGAAAGCTTTAAGTGGCTTAAACCTCAAAGATTAACAAGTTATGAGAAATTAAGAAAAATGAGTTTTTAAGTGAATTTTTGATATGGAAGGAGTTAATAGATTGTGAAGTTGAATTTGACTTGTCAAGGATTAAATTAAGAGATATGAAGTGATAGAATGGGAATTAGAACACATTGAAAATTTGGTATGATTTTTGAATCTTATATGGAAGATAGAATTTTGAGTTTAAAGAAGTGATTATGGAGTAGAAATGAGTTTAAGTATGTGTATGAAAGTTAGGAATATTAAAGGGAATGAAGTATGATGTGTTGAGCTGAAAATGAAGGATTTTCGAGCTCAAAATATGATTTCTGGGCAAGGGGAATCGGTACCCATTCAAGGGGAACCGATACCCCTTCAAACGAACAAGAATTTCCAGTATGTCATGGGGGAACCAATACCCCCATAGGGGGGAACCGATTCCCCCTAAAGGAAAATTGGGAATATGGGTTTAATAAGTTAGTTTAAGTTGCTAGTATCCAATTACAAGGTGTAGGTACCTAATGATGGTCTCGAAATGTACAATTATGTAGATTCTACGCATAAAGCAATTCCGGAACGTTTGGCAAGTAAGATCGATCAAGGGAAAGATAA